CAGCAGCCCGAGGGCACGGAGCCGCGGGGACCGCCCCCGGAGTATCCCTATGTCATCCCTGCCCAGGATGCTTACCTGGCTGAGCCCCGAGCCTGCTCCCGGGAAGGTCCTGCATTTCAGCATCCTGACATCAGGTAAAGCTGTGGCCCCTGGTCTCTGCTTTTGGATGCCTCTCAGGGATGTTCGGGATGGATGCTTGGAAGGGCAGTGGGGGTGCAGAACAGCTGCTTTTGTCCTCACTGGCCCACGCCTGCTGGGAGCCCCCCACTCTGCTCCTGTCCCCAGCTCCCCCAGCTGGGCTTTTCCAACCAGTGGAGAAAATCCCATTCCCACAGCAGACCCTGCCTCCTCCCCATGCACCCAAAGGAGCTGGGGGTAACTTAGGGAATAATCCAGGAGCTGGAAGCAGCCCAGTAAACAGCTAAATGTGGAATAGGTATGGGGCAGGGTGGAAAACAAATATGCTCCGTGCTCCACGGAAAAGCCATGCCATGGTCCTGAGCTGGGAATGTCCATGATACTTGGAATTGCTGCTGAGCAGAGCCTGGGCTGGTGCCAGGTGGTCTGTGGTCCCTTTGGCAGCTCAGTGCCTCTGGCAAAGCCCCAGGGTGACCGTGAGATGGACATCTGGGGGTCCAGGCATTGCCTGGAATTTGAGGAGGACTGGAAACAACCTCTTCCAGTGTGGAAAATGATGGGAAGAAGGGAACTGTTGGCTCAATGTGAGGACACACTGCTCCCAGCCCTGCTGATCTATCCAGGCAGAGAGCGATAGCATCTCCAGCAGGAAAACCTTCTCCTTGCAGGGAACAAAGAGGGGAAGGGGAGCTGTGGGGAAGATGTATTTATTCTTCCTTGCTCCTATATCATCCCGCAGGAATGCAGCCCTTGGCGGGCAGCCCGCGGGGGAGCGCAGCGGGGCCGGGCCCTGCTCAGGGATTCCAGCAGGGATGGTGAGCTGGGATGCTGGAGCAGTGGCACAAGGGGCAGCCAGGCTGGCCTGGCTTCTCTGAATATAAAAAGGACACATCCACAGTTTGGCAGTGAGGGCCTATGTCAGGAGTCCTTGCTTTGCACAGAAAATGAGGAAAATGCTGGCTTCCAAGGTGCATCCTATGCCAGGCTGCCTGCAGCATTCCCAGCAAAAGAGGGACCTGGAGGGTTGGGAGCCCATCCAGACCCACTGGCCAGGTGCTGGAGGGGTCAAGCCAAGGCATCCCTGCAAGATGGGAGGTGTGGTTAGAGAGTGAGCCCTTTCTAGCTCTAAAAAGCAGGATAGGCACTTCCACCTCCTTTGAGGTGACACCAGCACGTGCCTGATGGGATGCTGGTGCTGCAGCCAGCTCTCCCACCCTGCCCACCCTGACGCCCCCTCCTGGCTCTCCGCAGGGTGCTGCCCACCTCGGT